ATTGTCTTGTCCGGAGTGTGGTGCCACTCACACTAACGTCGCAGTTGCATTCTGCAAGCTGCCGCCATGTTTGGCACTATAGGTCGGCCGATTGGGATAGGATGCGGTCTTTTTTGCATCCTACCCTTGGGGGTGGGTTTGTTTCTCACCGGAAGATCCTAGCATTGTTGCTGATTCTGTTGCTGATGTAGTACTTCAGGGTATGGAACTTTTTATTTCATCTTCTGTGGTGCCTATCGGAGGCAGATCCCAGCCATGGTTTGATTGCTCCTGTAAAATAGCATCACGCTATAAGCATGAGTGCTAGCGGGCCTGGGCTGATGTATCAACGTCTCGGGATGTAAACACCAGGGCTCTTAAAAGGCAGTATAATTCCGCCTCCAAGTCCTTCAAAAGAGTCATTACCAAGGCAAGGTCTAAGCATATCGGCAGAATTGGCGAGAAGCTAGTTCACCTTTCTTTGAACGCGTGCATTCCGTACTCTCGCCAAGGCTGTCCAAGGGAACTTCTGTTAGCCATCTCTTCCATCTCTGCAGAGAGAGGATGACTCACTAGCCCATGTCACAAAGGAGAAAGCACATCTGTTAGGCTCTCTCTCTTTGCATCCAACTCGACTCTCAATGATGGACGGAACACACCGCCGACTATCCCGCGACATGAGTGCTCCATGCCAGATGTGCGGTTTACACAACACTCGGTTCGCAAAGCAATCTTCTCCCTGGACGTCAGCAAGTCGAGTGGGCCTGATGGTCCCTCCCACTGAACTGAAGACCTGTGCTCCGGTGTCGGCACCGGTTTTAACGCGCCTTTTCCGGTACTCCTACTCCCAAGGCGTAGTCCCGAATTCATGGAAGACAGCTTTGGTCCACCCGATCCCTAAAAAAAGGCGACCGCTCAGACCCGTTCAACTACAGGCCTATCGCCATCACCTCCTTGTTCTCCAAAATAATGGAGTCCATTATAAACTGCCAGCTCATGAAATACCTTGAGGATCACCAGCTGATTAGTGACGGTTTTCGTCGGGGTCGATCAGCTGGTGATCTTCTGGTTTACCTGGCTCATAGATAGGCGGAGGCAGTAGAGTTCAAAGGGGAGGCATTGGGAGTCATCGATCGCGTCTGTCACAAAGCGCTTCTTTCGAAGCTCTCTTCCCATATGCTTCCCGTGAAATTGTGCAATTGGATCTCCAAGTTTCCTTGCTGATCGGAGCATCAAGGTTGTAATAGACGGTGCATGCTCTGATTACAAGTCTACTAACGCTGGTGTTCCACAAAGCTGCGTGCTATCACCAACGTTATTTCTTCTGCATAATAATGATATGTTGCAAACTGGCTACATTCATTTTCTGCCGACTTCCAAAAAGGAGACGGTACTCAATTTGACCGTATTTTTTTTGTTCTTTTTTTATGTGTGTTATCTCATAACTTTTTACTGGGTGGACCGATTTTAATAATTCTTTTTTTATTTGAAAGCTGGTAGTTCTCGTGTGGTCCCGAATGAATTTGATCATGGTCAAGCCAATAGTTTTTGAGTTATTCTTAATAACTTATATTGAAGTCGGCTGTACAAAATTTTTAATTTTAAATTATTATGCAGACAACAGCACTGGTGATGTCTTATACACCGGTCCTGCCAATATTTCTCGGGAAAACGTCACCGAGTACTGGAAAAACTTGTGTCTGAAGTCGAGTCTTTGCTGAACAAAGTATCGGATTGGGGTCGACTAAATTTAGTCCAGTTCAATCCCCAGAATACACAAATTTGCGCGTTTCCCGCCAAAAAGAACCCCTTTGTTGTATCTCCTCAGTTTCAAGGCACTCCCGTTGCTGCCTCAGCTAGCATCAGAATCCTCGGCGTCAACATATCGAATAGTGTGCAGTTTCGTGGTCACTTGGAAGGGAAGGCCAAATTGGCCTCTAAAAAGCTTGGCGTGCTGATCAGAGTGAGACAGTATTTCATGCCGGTACATAGCTTGTAACTTTACAAAGCGCAAGTGCGGCCTCAGATGGAATACTGTGTTCATCTCTGGGCTGGGGCACCCCAGTGCCAGCTCATTCCACTTGACCGCAACCAGCGCAAAGTAGTTCGAATCGTTGACGACCGAGTTCTTTCTGATCGGCTCCATTCACTGGCGCTGCGTAGAGATCATCATCCCTTTGCATTTTCTTTTTCTTCATTTTCAATTCTCTAAGGAATTGTTCTGATTAATTCCAGCTGCCAAAATTCACAAACGCCCATCGCGTCCAAACTCACGATACTATCCTCACTATCTGGATGGTTGGCGGTCCACCACTGTACGTTTTACTAGGAGTTTTCTTCCTCGTACAACTTCTCTGTGGAATTGTTTACCACCGGAGATTTTTCCGGACCGATACGACTTAGCAACCTTCAAGAAAAGAGCTTACACCTTTCCTAAAGGCCGGCAACGCACCTGCAATTTCTCTGGTGTTGTTCTGGATTTGTTCATGGGCGGCGGTAGTCACTTACCATTAGTAAAAATTTTTGTAAAAAAAATTCAGTGGAACTGGCGAGAATCGAACTCAGGTTGTGGGTTCGTGAAATTTTTAGCTAAGCTTGCCCATGCCATTAACGTGATGTTAATTATTTATTCAAACTTTGAATTATAATTGATTAATGTATTATTATTTAATCAACTTGCCGTGTAGTGGTGGTGTAAGAATATGCAGTACCCCATATCATACCGTGGGTGTCTTAAGAGGCGACAGAGGGAAACAAATCAGGAGCTATAGTTTACTGCTGAACAAATGTCTCTCAAGGATTAGCGATTCTTCTCTCTAGGACTCTCTCTTCTCTTTAGGATAGAATTAAGAATCAAATTCCAGTTATAAATTAATTTATTTTCACTAAATTAATATATACACATTTAGTTAAAGGTAACCTGCTTTAGCTTTACAGTGATTAACGCACTAAAACTGCTTTCATTAAAGAAACGGTTATGAATTTTTATAAAAACGTAAAACAAAAACATATAACGCCAATCGATCCTAATACATATAATTTATTAATTATTAATAACTATTTAAATAGACTAAAGGCAGTGATAAGCTTAATTTTTTGAAATTATATATTTTATTAAGAAGTTTATATAATCAATTATTGAGGTTAATAAAGAATAGCATAAAATTTAAGTATATTTATTATATCATAAATTAGGTACATATAGTCGATATGATAAATATAACATTGATCAACATTTATGCTTTTTTACTCATCTGAAATCATTCAAATACCGAAAAATCAGATTTTTCAGTAATTGTTGTAAAATGTTTCCATCTCTGTAAACCGGTAGGTAATCTTAATATATAATATATCGTTTTTCGAAAACGTGATTCTACTCTTGACGCTATGTTGCGACTATCGATTATGTGACAAAACATCGATATTAAAATTTGAATCATCATCGATCATCCCTAGCACGAGCTCAATGCCTCTTACAATTTTATAGCTATTCCTTTGTATTTTAGTAATATTATAATTGCACTCTTTTGTTATAAATAATCTAAGTTATATTTTTCATTTGAGAATCAATTGTTTTCAATCTTTAGTACATACATCTAATTCTTAAAAAACATAAAGACATAATGTGTTTAAATATTTATGCAATCCTATCAAGCGCCACACAACGCAAATTAACGAATGATTTCTATAATTGTAGACAAAACGGGACGATGTGGTCGTTCAGCGACAAAGTCTTCATTCTATAGCGTTTATTATCTGACGGAATTTGATATCATATGATTACTTTTTAATAAATTAATATAATGTTTTATAAATACCTAATCAATTTCGAGGAAAATATTTTATATTTATTCCTTTATGAGATGAACATAACAACCCGCGCTCAGTGTCGGACACTTTCATAGTGCCTAGTAATAGAAACACTTTCTATGTTTTATTAAACTTGTTAACTATCAAACATTAAAGTGGCTGAATAATAAACATCATAAAAACTAAATAAATAAAAACGGAAGTTAAATATAAGAAAATTAAAATTAGACACGTGCATAAATGGCACATGGATTTATACTTAAGATTAATGACGGACCTAAAACTACATGCTTTTTAATGAAGTTTCAAGCATCAGAAATAATTTTCATTCATTGAACTAAAGTAAAATAGGACAGTTTTTATAGACACTCATTGGATAAAGAAAATATCAATTTTATAGATATTGATATCCAACAGATACTTGGATCTAGAAATGTCAATAACATAAATGTAGATTTTAAAAGTTCGTTCGATATTTTCGGAGATACTCGAATATAAAATATAAATCCTGATGATAGCCCTCGATAATACAACTTAAAATATATAAAAAGGCAAGATTTTTACAATACACAAAGAAGTAAACTAAAACCAAACTTAAAAAACGAAATAAATACCTAATTATTAATGTTTTTTAATAACAGATATAGCTGTATATGAAATTTAAAAAATGATACAACAAATAAACATTACCATTAAAGTATAATGTACGTATTTAGTACATATTACTTCAATGCACCTTTACACTCTTAACGTCCTAATTAAAACTGACGTAATATACACCAATGAAAGTGAAGGGATTCATATTTACAAAACAAATTAAATAGTTTAATTAAAATAAAATCTATCATCACATTCTTTGCCCAGTTTCTATCACTTTAGACAATTCTGTAATTGGTTTTCTTCCTAATTATTTACACTACCGAAACAAATTATATTTCGTTGACAGAAATAATTACCTTTTCATGGTTTTATTTTAATAATTGTCAACTATCGACTGCTTATTGTAAATTGATAAAGCAATTTTGTATCAAGAAATGTAATTTAAATTACGTATTGTTCATTATCTACTTAACTTTTTTACGAAATTTACACTTTTATATATGTATTTTAAGGCAGAATTATTAAATCAATTATTTACAATTCATTTCCAACACATAGTGCGTACTATGACACTTCCGGAAAAGTATAGAGTCCATGCCATACTGGCCGATTTATCCGGAACCGTTCGAGTAAACGTCCGTCGCGGCCCTCTGACCGGCTCGTATCACACTTTGCACGGTATTGGCTGCACCCTGGAAATTAATAAATAGCAATTATTACCTTAAAATAAACTTAATATACATATAACTGAGAAACGCCGTGTAGTGGCAGTGTAAGACAATCCACTACACCGTATCATATGGTAGATGAAGATTTTGTAAGTTTAAGGCAAACATCTAAGAGGGCTGTATCCGATTTATATAATTAAAATACGTGGGTACAAAAGGGCCCCCGTAATAGATCAGAGGTTAAACGCTCGCTGTTAATTTCTTACTACGCAATCAATCACGGGCTTAATCCCCACCGTTTGTTCCGTGCAATTTTTAGTAGTGATTTATCACATTTTCGGCGATGAAGATAAACATTATCAGTAAACCCAACACCAAGTGTAAAAACTGTAACTTTACATTGCTGTACGTTTATATACAATAAATAAATACTCGGGATTTTTTTTCGCGGCATTGCATACGACTTAGCTGTATGAGGACTATAATAATATTATCTTTAAATGCCAATCTCACTAGTACAGAATGTAACCTGTTAATCAATAAATGAGACTGATGTCAAAAAATCGCTAATCAAAATTTTAACTTTTGACAGACTTGTAAGAGGTGGCAGTACTACCAATGCTTGAAACTTGAAATCGAGAGTGTGAAACTTTTCGGAGTTTTTCCGCGTGATAGACTTCGTAATAATGATATCCGCAGTATAACCAGAGTAACCGACATAGCCCAACGGCCCAAATGGCAATAGGCCGGCCTAGACCGAAGTACCTACAAACGAGAAAAAAGGTAAAGCCACATATAGGGAGGCCACCCACAAGACGACCTGGTTAATACATGCAGAAAGTTGATGGATACAGACGGGTCCGGACCATGCTTTGTGGCATTTTTTGTGAAAGGCCAGCAGTGGACTGTGATGATCGGCTGTAATGATGATAATGATGACTAAAAGTGAGGATTCATCGGCTTTACATCCACCATTCCACCTTGTCTGCGTAGTCTGTATGGCAATACACGCTAACGAGTGCATTCTTATTAAATTTTATAATTATGATTGAAGGAGGAGATGTTTTGTATTTGAATGATTCCGGGATGTTGAAAATTAAGTCGTCCCAATTACTATTCGATCTTAGGAAACGTGACTAAGTTGAAATTGCGGCATAAGACTGATCGAAGTAAAAGTAAACTTAATATAATTGCAAAACGTTATGTTGAAGTAAACATATGGTGCAAATTACGACATCATAAGCGACTGGACGTGTCCCAGATCTAAATACTCGTATACCTTATGTTATCGAAGTTATTTCGAAATTAAAGCTAAAAGACAACTTATTCACTTTCAGATATGAAAGTTATATTATTTATGTTTTAATAGTTTAGAATTTGGTTAATGAGAGATTAATTATTTAGAATGAATGAAATGGCTACAATGATTACTGCAATATGCAGTTGAAATTAATTATAACACTTACATTTTGATGAACATAGCTGCTCTTTTCTGAAATTTTAGAATTATAACATAATCTGCATTTACCTACAAGTATTTATCTGCATATTTTACAATATATTTATTTACAAATTTAGTTTGAAACTGTGTTTCCGGGAATTTAAAAGAAATGTTTTATCTTTCAATAAAAGCTTTGAAACTTTACAGCTTTAGTTACGAAGATAGATATTTGCAGACGTGGTTACGTAACCTACCTGTATTGCAGCACCGAGGAACTGAGAGAAAGCTCTCGTGACGTTTATGGCTGCAGAAACAAGTTGCCCTCTACCCGGCGCCTGCTCGGCCGCTACTGCCCGTGGGGGCTCCAGAGGTATCTAACGAGTCCAGTTACGTGGAGTGATATAATTAGTTTTATTAAACAGTGATTTTTTTAAATTAGTTAATTATTAGACGAAATGCATTTAGACACTGCTTTTATTTTGGCAAAAATATGAAAGTTAAAAAGTGTTCTACGATTATTTTTGCGTCAGAAACCAGCGAAACAATGTGTTTTAATTTGCTTAATGGTTAACAGTGGAAAAATTAGAGTGCAAAGATTAAAATTTAAACAAAACGTGACTTACAGTGTTTTTGTTTTTTTTTTTGTGTTAATAATATACATAGGAAATGGATTCACCAACCACCATAGACTAATAAATGTAATGAAAAGTAGTTAGTATGATTGTGATAGATAAAATTAAATTTTTATTGAAATTTCGTTTTCATTCAATTTATATATCACAATATAACTTAAAGAATAACATTATTATCATTTTTATAACTTTGACTTGGTTAACAATCTTTCTCTTAAAATATTTGCAATAATTTTAATTAAGCAAAATTTACCGTGTGTTGTGGTAACTAAGCTATAATTTATAAATTTGAATATGCTTATAATACTGTAAATACTTACAGTAAATAATATGTGTCACTAATAATATCTATCAATGTTTACACATCACTGTTTTTCGGAATAAATAGATAAAGAAAAAGAAAGATAGTTAAAAATTGTACAAGCACTGCGCATTTTTGATTTTCAATAATATATTATATCAACGTATTTATACAATTAATTAAATTTTACAAAAATATCAATATGATAAAGGAATTAAGTTAATAGCTAAATAGGTTAATTGTTTGTTAATATATTTACAAACTGTGGTCGATTACTCACCCGTAATTACACCCATAACACTCGCGATTTACACTGATTTCTACTGTAATTTACAAAACGTATTAACCGATATACGGTAACAAAAGCAGTGGAGAAGGTTGATTGGGACTATATATTATATAATATGCTAATAAAACGCAGATTATTAGATGGGAATAAAGTTTTAAAAGGAATATACAATATCTACAGCCCGCCTGTGTATGGATTTTGTTGTTATTGTTTAAGTAACGTATGGTAAATGGGAAAATGAAGGAAGTGATATGCCGGGAAATCATTTTATTTTATAAATTTTATACAATATGCATTAATTTATTATTTCTATTTTTACACCGATATTTATCGCTTTAAGTTTAGTTAAAAAACTTTTTGTCTAGAAATGTGGTTACTTTTATTTTATATATTTATAATTAAGAACGAAAATTTAACGTTTTCGTTTACTTTTCAGCATGCAAATGTATTACTAATATTTTTATGTGTTTGTAATCAATGTCAAATGGAATAATTGAACTGTTCATTACAATTTATAATCATTGAATAATAGATCAGAGCTCAAGTGACTAACATCGATTAGTAGAAAAATGTTAACATATTATACGAGTATATACATTTAAAAAAAATGCACACACACGTATATAAAAGATCCGATGAATGCATAGTAAGAAAAAGTATGTATTAATTTTCTTCCGCGTTGGTACTAGTCACAAAATTAAAAACAATTGGTGCACATATTTTAATAAATAAATTCTTAAATTACGTTCCTAATTTTCGCTTTACATAATATACTTTAAGGTTAACCACTTTTCCTTGTTAGCAATTCCCAAAGTTATTCATGGGTTTATTTACATAGGTTTATTTATTTACATAATATAAAAACCGTCCAATCCCTAATCATATTAAAATAAACTTCATTCGAAACTAACTTAGATTAAATAGGAACGAAACTGAAACGTTCTCTTATATATACATAATTGAATTCAGTTAATTGTCCTAGGAATCAATTCTATTTAATCTAAGGTTTTATTCATCACCTCAACCCCACTCACATAATTTAAGTAAAAGTGAAGAAAAACCCACTCGATTCGAGGACGGAGTTTCATCGGCGTTGCCAACAAATGGTCCAGAACCAAACCAGTTGGTTCTAGAAGGCGCAGGTACTGAAGAAGATGCAACAGAACTGGACGTTGACGCTGGCCGTTTTTTATTTGTTCTGGTACCAACATTACCAGACCCAGGTTCCGTCTCTCTCCACTGCTGCCAAATCCAAGCTAGGCCATCCAAAATTGGCCTTCGTAGTGCTGGGGGCGGCGGAGGAAGCGTTGTCGTCCGCCTAGCCTTCGGCGTCACTACCACTTGATTCAGTAAAGCCTACGAGGTTATATTTGGATCTAAAACTTTGCTATAGCCGCATAATAAAAAAATAAAAAAGCAAACAAAGATGTCTGACTATAAAGCGAAGAATATACTAAAAATGAAAGAAATGAATGACTGATGAAAATTTAAAGTTACTGAGTTACTGAGTTAAATTAATAGGATTAAATTTAACCTTTTATGAAATATTATTTGAATATATAAGTAAAAAATGGAAAGAAAAGTAAGTACTAACAGCGAGTCGAACTTGCTCATCCAGAGAACTTGCCGTTGTTGGACCGAATCCTTGTTCCTTAAGCAATGCCGCAAGAAGTGCATCGTTGCTGTTTCCATATTCAGTGCTCAATGATACTGATGATTTTGTAGCTTCTGATACCATTACCGTTGGTTTAGCTTTTTGGATTAACTTTTTAAGTGCTTCGTCTGAAGATTGACCTGCAATAATTCAAATATTAAACCGAAATACAAAATTTTATTCATCAAACTAAAGTAATTTAGCATTTATTGATTATTTTATTTATACCTGTAATGGCCAGTTTATTCTTATGTGTCGTTGTTTCCTGTGCATCTTTTAGCTTAATTAATGTTTGAAGTAACTTTGCCTCATCTTGAACATCTTTTATATTATCCTTAACAGCTATTTTTGCTCCGAAAGTTTTAGTGGTAGTTGGATTCGTGGTTACTATACTTGGTTTATTTGTCAAAGGTACAAAAGTTAAATCCTCTTTAACAATCGGAGAAACTTTTGGACTAACATTTACACTTGGCAGCGTTGGTATATTAAACTTGGAAGGATCCTGCCCAGTCGCTTTTAAAAGAGCTTGTAATAATTTTGTGTCTCGTTCAAATTGTTTGATATCATCTTCTAATGACGGTGTACTTTTGCTAGGCATTGTTCTCGGTTTGAAAGTAGTAGTAGTAGGCTTCGTCGTTGTACTTGTTGTTCTTACAGTCGTGGTACGCAAAGAGTTGACGGAATTTGAATTGATATTTTTGCTACCTCGGGAAGAATCTGTTTGCTTTCCTGTTTGTAATTCACTTAAGCTTCTTTCCACAGCGAGGGCTATGACACGATTAGCTAGTGCAGCTTCTGGATCATCATTGTTAACATTATTTGTGTTTAGGACGGATTTCTGAAAATAATATTTACTTTATAAATTTACAAGGAAATTAAAATCAATATTAAATGCTGTTAAGGTTCTTAAACTTATATTTTAACAGATTTAGTCACATCAATGAAGGTACTGAATTATCAGGAACAGCTCGGTATTAGATGTGAATTTTTTAAACTCGTTTCTATATATTTTTTTTTAATTTCATACATTGTGACTAACGGACCGAAGGGATATTTAATAAATACTGCAGCCAGTATTTTCAATTTCTTCGTATTCTCATTTTTATCTCTATGTAATCTAGTAACTTGTTCAAAATTACGACTTTTTGTAAGATAATCAAAATGTACATAAAATTGTATTAGTGGAAAAAATCATAATAAATTTAAAATAAGACGAAAAGATAAATAACAATAATATATTAATTATAAGATTGCTAATTAAGAATAATTATGTTTCGGGATTAATTGAAAGATAGTTAAATATATAGTATATATATATATATATATATATATATATATATATATATATAATTATGTCCCACTACTGGGCACAGTATGAGCGATTAGTCCATTGCGCCGTTACATTGCGTGTTCGCGGACTTTACATGCCCTAATAATATTTTATTTGTCACACATACACGATTTCTAACAATGTTTTCCTTCACCACTAAGCACGATGTAAATCGGCTCTTAAAATTGCAATTAACAAACATTTAATTGGTGCCGGCGGGGATCGAAATGCAGGGGTCTTCTGCTTAATCCATCTGCCTCTATTTTTTAATAATAAATATTATGATGGTGTTAGATAGAATGTGCCACATTTTCCCTAACGCTACCCAGTAGAGTTGGATCCATTGATTGACCACTTGATCGAAGTTCTCATCAACAACTTCGAACTTAAGATCCCAACAACTATCGCCATAGGTGTGACATTTATATACTCGTATTCTCTATCGACCCTCCACGGCTCCGCTTAGAAAGAGTCTATTAATGTGGTGCTATTTAGATTTAAGATAGCTAGTTAAAGTATTTAATCAATTTTTAGTTTCTTCAAAAAATTCAGATTTTCGGATAAAATATTACCTATATCCTTCTTTGTATTGCGCTCTATCTGCGTATGAAATTCCATCATAATCGGTTCAGCCATTTCGAATATTAGCCCGTACAGACAGACAAAAATTGTAAAAATTGTTATTTATTTGTTAATAGCATGCAATTATCCATCCCCCCGAACTTAATGGAATCCATTTATTTCAATATCATAATAAATAAATCACTTCAATTTTATTTATGTGTATAGTTGTATAGATATACATGATTAATTTTTTTTGAGATTAATTTATAAGTTAATTTTGCAAAGTGCTAGATCCTCAAGTGATTCAAACATAATGGCTATTTTCTCGGCTAATAGTAAACCGCAACATTAACTAGTTAAACCTATAAATCCCTGCAATATTTGTCTATATTGAAAAAGTTATGAAAATTTTCAGCTCGATTAAATAATCTGATTATAAGTAACGTATAGAAAGATGTAGATTGAAAAAAAATTCTGCTATTTTTAGCAAAGTTCATCAAATTTACAAGCTTCATTTACTCGACTAGAGTTATACAATTTCACTTACCAAATTATTTAAAAATTCTAAATCTTCTTCAGCTGAAAAAGTAGAGGTGCTCGGTATTTCAGTCGTAACTCGTGTTGTTTCTGGGGCGCGTCTAGCATTTATCGTAGACAATGGTTCAGGAAAGTTAGTTGTTGTCAATAATCTTCTATCAATTGGTGGATATGTGGTGGAAATTCCAATTTCTTCTGTAACAGTACTTTGTTGGTCCTGCAAAGTAGTTAATGTGGAAATGGTTTGCGGAAATTCAGTCTGTAATTTATTTGGCTGAACTGTAGTGTAAACAGGACGCATATTATTTGACGTTGTGGGATTAGATTCGATTGACGTTGTTAGAGGATTTGAAGCAATTCTAACATTGGAAGTTATCTTCGATATTACTGGCTGGTTTAAATTAGTGTTCTGTCCAGTAATTTGTAACAATGCTTGTAATAATTGAGTATCTTCTTTTAATTTCTTTATTTCTTCGTCGATTGAAGACGTAGTTGTTTTTGTTTGTTTCGGTGTAGTTGTCATAGTTGTTGTTCGGGTCGTTGTTGTTGTTGTTGTTGTGGTGATTGGATTTGTTTTCACCATAAATGCAGGAATTGCTCTAATATCACCTAGGTTTGGAATTTTTAGTTCATTTGGGTTTCGGCCTGTGGCTTGTAAAAGTGCTTTTAATAATTTTGTATCTTCCTCAAATTGTCGGATATCATCTTCTATGGAGCGCAAAGTAGTTGTTTGCATTGTGCCACCTGGTTTATAGGAAACTGGTAACTTTTGGCCAGTAGCTGTTAACAATTCTGGTTTTAATGTTGTCGATAAGACTGCTTGTAAGCTTTGTAGTAGCTCTGAGTTTTCTTGTTTTTTATTGGTATCAATTTTTATAGTATTAGTTGCTGGTAATATGGTACTGTCAAGAGTAGTCAATTTTCCGTCAGAAGACTGTGTTGATGATATTGATACAACATTCGCATTTACAACATTCTGAGTTGTCCTTTCCAGATTTATGGAAAAAATGTTTGCTGGGTCCGTAGTGATGGGATTTGTTACATCATTTCTTGGCAAATCATTAAAAGTAAATAGTGGTACTGTAGTGGTTGACATTATTGGAAGAGGTTGTGGTGTATCAAGCTTTGTTGTTGGGGGTTGAACTGTTATTACATCTTTTACTGTAGTCATTATTTTGTCGAAGTCCTCTTTAATGTCAAAAAGTGAACTTTTAGGGGATTGTGTACTTTCTTCCTGAAATTCATTTGGTGTTACAGAATTGGTGAATATAACAGGCGTTGAAGACTGACTACCCATTCCATCATTAGATATTATTTCGTTGGACGTTCCAAGAAACAGTTCCTTTGTTGTTGTGGATTCATCCATATTTTCTATGCTTTTTTGAATTTGTAATATAGATGAGTTAATTTCTGTAACGGGTATTGGTGTCACAGTTTTGATATCTTTTTCTGTATTATATTTAATAGGTGATTTTGTAGAAGCTAGCTTTAAAACGTTTGTGTTTTGTGGAGGTACCGTTACTTCATCAATGGGTATAAATTTGAAAACTGCATTTCCTTTACCATCACCAGGTTTTTCCGTTCGGATTTGTTGTGTCTGTAATTTATTAATAAAATTATTTAAGAATTGAAAAAAATATTTTACAAATATTTCAATTGCAAATATTTAATATTTCAAAACAGTTTTTAACTAAATAAATCCACCACCACTTACCGTGACTGTATACAATTAAAATACAGTTTTACAAACATTGGACTTCATCATGCATCCAACAAAGTTACCATATTATGATTTGTTCAGTAGTTTAATTCAAAATATGTAAAAGACTACCTACAGTATGAAAAGTTAGTGTAAAATTATATTAACTACATAAGTCAGAAGGGGATAAAAATGATGTGAGAACTACATGATTTATATAAGTATTATACCTCCGGATCGATATCCAGTGTTAATATTCTTGGTTCACGAGTAGAGCTCGTCATTGATGATATAACCATTTCCTCTTTAGTGGCCGAAGATAAACTATTAAGCAGAATCTCATGAATAGAAGGTAGCATTGTAGTAGTGCGTAAACTTAAAACATGCGAGGCAGTGCTTTTGTCAGCAAACGGCTTAATTGTGGCAGTAGTTATGCCCAAGGAACTGGTACCTTTTAGATTAGGTGCCGATGAAGATATCTGCAATTATGAAATAATATGTTATGCTTTGTTATGTTAATTGGTAATCAAGCGCTAGTGCAGGAGACATGCATAGCTTACCCGTAATCCCGCCATCACAACATAAGCACATATCACCTGAGAAGTTAAAGCCCAAGCCAGCTTTCAAGCTAAATAATTAAAAAACAATACCATCATTTGCTGGTTATTTACAGTGTCGGTGGTTAATCTGTTTTCCATTCCGTTATTTGTGTTTGTGGATGTCACAGTATTAGTGGATACTCGGATGGGGTTAGGCTGCGGTCTGACAATGGCCGGATTATTATGGATAGGGCTGTATGGGTTTCTTAAACTCCATGGACTGATTGGTAGTACGTCAATTTTTTGCATGAGTCGTGGTACTCTAGTTCCATTTGGAAATTTACGTATTATTGTGTTATTAGGTAGCACGCCATAAATAATGTACGGAGTTGCCTCGGTTAATCTTTCCAGTACATTATCGTTAGGATCTTTACGTACCACTGTATTATTAGGCAGTATTCCAAATATAACATAATCTTTTTTCGGAATAGTTGGCTGAGTGACGACGTTGAGTTGAGCTTTAGTTGTTATTAAATCATTTGATTTAGTTTCTTTTACGAGTGTTACAGTGGTGGTTTCGATACCTGCTTGAGTTGTTGTTTCTAAATTGCTCTCAGTAAGACTTGTCTTGGTAGGCCATTCCAAATCTATCAAAGAGGTCGTGACTTCAGTGTTGACTTGAGCAATAGTTGTTGGATTTTCTGTACTTTGAATTGTAGATTTTAGTGTATCTTGAGATTCGGTTGTTTCTTCAACAGTAGTTAGCTCTGCGTCCATAGTTGTGCTATGCAAAGCATCAGCAATTTCGCTTGAAGCTTGTGAAGCTATTATTTCAGATACGTCTGCACTAATAGTAGTTGAATATACTTCAGTTATGGGTATATTAGTAGGCAGTACGTCAGTTGAGGTAGTCATTGATGGGACCGTAATGTCGGTTTTAACACTATTAATTATAGTTTCAGTTGTAGTTTTGTCGGGTAATTCAAATTGTGTAGTAGATATGAGTGCATTAGAAACTGGTCCAGAAATAAAATTCGGAGTGGTTAAATCGATATCCAAAACGGTTGATTCATTTTTAGAATCCATTGTGTTAATTATTTCAGCTAAGCGATCGGAAAATGGAGAATTGGTTTGTTCTTTTAATGCAGTGAAAGAAGCATTTGCTATTTCATCATTATGTTCTTTAATTATTTGTTCAATCATATTCAAGACACGAGCTTTTTTAGAAAGTACCCATAACTGAAGATTTGATATTTGACTTGGATCTTTAATGTTAATATTATCAGTCTCATTAAATTGTCTATCAGACAAAGCAATTAAAGGTGGTGTATTGTTAATTTCATTTGAAGGAAGTTTATCAGTTATGGAATTTCCAAAAAATGGGACTGAAAAAGGTTGAATAGTGGAATCTATCATTGGATTATTAGCAGTGCTCGTCTCTACATTATTTACACTAGTAGATTTAGTTAAGCCAGACAAAGTACCTGTATCAATATTTATGTCTAATGTTGTACTAGATGTTTTTAACGTTGTTGCTGGCAAATCGAAAGATGGCGGTGTATTAGTATTTACATACTCGGTAGTAGTTTCGATATCAGCTACTGTTGTCTTGCTCTCAAATTCCGATAAGTTGTTACTTAAAAACAGTTGTGAATATACCGAGCTATTTACAGCTTGTTGTGAATTTATTCCTAAATCTAAAAGATCAACAGTATCCCCTGTTCTATTTACATTACCATTCAATACATTTTGGAAGAGATTGTTAATTTCAATAGAAGAATTTTGGTTCTCATTAATGTTAATATTTTCGGTATCCTTAATGTCCTCCAAACTGTAAGGAGTGGTATTTGGAACTACATCAGTATTACTGAGGGTAGATAGCTTATTCATAGCTCTAGGAATTATTGTTTTCAACAACTTCGCCATATCTACAGTCAATTTAGATCTACTTTCGTCGTCCAAATTTTGAATAATATCTATAATATTATTAGATAACATGCTAGTTAGTTCTGACGACACTAATTTTTTGTTAGATAATAAAAGGTCAGATGCAGTGTTATATACCATTTTCGCACTATGAGTCGTAGGCTGATTCGTCGTAAGTTCAGATGAAGTCATAAATTCGTCTGTCAGCCGTTCTGTATCTGAATATAATATTTTTATAGCAAAGGGTTTCCTTGCGGAAATAGGAGTGGTTGGGGTGGGATAAGAGGTACTTTGAGAAGTACTTGTTGGTGTAAATTTCTCCTCTTCTTTAAGTGACGGTGAAATACGTTCCCCTACCGTCAAGCGGTTAAGCACATTTGGTGTAGTCTGATCAGTGATTTGTACAGGAATTAATGTATTTATAGATGTGCCCTGACTTGACAAGTCAGTGACACTATTTACATTATTGTTGTTACTCACGCCGTTGAATGTCTGTTTAACAACCGTATCAGTGAAATATTGTTGCGGTACTTCTGTTGTTGTAGAAATTTGAATTCTGGGTGTGGAAGTAAGTATTTCTGCTAAAGCATCAAAAATAGATACAGTAACTGATGGTGAGTGATTTGAAGCCTCTACATTCATGACATGTGATGGTTTTACTAAACTCTCTGAAAGTTTTAGATCAGCTGAAGATATTGTACTTCGTGTCTGAGTAAAAGAAATAGCATTCATGTCACCTAATTGAATCTCTTCACCCACTACCTGAAATAAGAAGTAATCTCACCCATAAAGATAGAAATACGTAATTGTGTAAAATACAATATAAATTGTGTGATGAAAACACCCAAGTATCTAAAGCTAGAAATAGGTGCATAGACTAAAGCCTCTTTATTACTTTTGGAACATAAGTGTAACTGACTAAATATGAGTCTTGTAAAAAAATTATTTTCGCTTATCACCATAAAACATATCGTTTGATTCTCAAATTAGTAAAATTATATTTTATAAATCAAAATTAGCAAGGGTTCATGCATTTTAATTATTTAATTTTATTGTTGAACTTGTGTTTTGTTAAATTTTAATGCATAAACAAGATGCATTAAATAAAACTAAATTTTTTATAACTATAAAATTTTAATTACGCAGTTAAATTCTGTCTTGGCGGTAATTCTGTTGTAATATCATTGAAATCATTTCCATCAAACTATTTAAATTCTTCTTTAAACTGAATGGCAGATCAGTTACGAAGAATTTACGTCATTCCTTTAGTAATAAGAAGAAACTTCTAATTATTACTTATTACATCATAAAAAAATAATTATTAATAATTTATGATTGATTTTTATTAAAATACTTGAATGATTTCAACATCAATCATAATAGAAATAGCTTCGCTCTTAATTTGCTACGACGAAACAGGCCTTACTTTTTTGACCGAGACGCGAGTGTCCTCTCCAGCTAGTACTTCGTACCTTTCCTACCTTTCCTAACCGGGGTAACAAATTAGAACACACCTTTGTGCCCTGGGCTGGAGTTCGCTTATATGTCATAAGGGATATCTGTTCTCGACGCCTCGGCGTCCAAAATTATTTCGAAGGATCTCAATCTTAGTTTGATCGCTCCTGTAAAAGTACATTACGCAGTAAGCAGAAGAGTTTCCAGGCCTACGCTGCCGTATCATCAGACCGAGATGTAATCACCAGCATCCTTAAAAAGGAATATAACTCCACCTCCAGATCCTTCAAAAGAGTTATTGCCAAGGCAAAGTCATAGCGCATTGGCAGAATTTGCGAAAAATTTGTTCGCCTTCCTTCGGAAACACGTTTATTCTAGTCTCTATCCAAGACTATCCAAGGGATTTACCGTAAGCCATCACTTTTATCTTTGTACAGGGAAGACAGGAAGAACGACTCGCTGGCCCACGCCACAATAGAGAAAGTCGACTTTTAGCCGGCTCCCTTTTTGCGTCCAAGTCGAGTCTCGAAGACAGAGGTTCTCTCACCGCCGACCGTCCCGCGGTATGAGTGCTCTGTGCCTGATCAAAGCAGTCCTCTACCTGGACATTCACTAGTCAATTGGGCCTAACGAAATCCTCCCAAATGTGCAGAGGACGTATGCTCCAGAGTTGGCACTGCTTCTAACCCGTTTTGTCCGGTATTCCTACTCTTGGTTCCTACAGGTAAAATTATTGACGAGGCAATCTAGTTTTTTAAAGAAGATTTTGTGAAGACCGGAATAACACATATCAGCATAATCAATTATGGGTAAAATAAGACATTGCAGCAGAACTATCTTTACCTTGACCGGAAGAATCGGTTCAGATCACTCAGTTTATCGATTACTGAACTTCTTTTCTTAACTTGGGTGGTCTAATTTAAGGTTGAATCAAAGTAAATACCAAGATTTTTGACGTAAAAAGAGTAGGAAATGTTAAAACTATCAAACATAACAAGATAAACAGTCCTAGCGTCAAGTTTTGACAACTGTTGGGCGCTATAATGGTTTGACACTTATTTGGGATTACACGGTGTCAATTATTAAGATGCAACAAGTCTATATGAGTCTGTCCTCAGCGGTATTTATAGTATCAACATCAGCTTGAGTATAACGTTGTTGTCAGTGTATAAATGGTGGCAGCAGTTAAGCTGAGCTCCACCCTGTATCAGGACAGATATGAGTTGACACCAATTAGATATGTCGTAACCCCAACGAACAGTAGCCGGTGGCGACAGAAGTAGGAAGAAAACCAATGAATAATAGTGGAAGAAATTTTAAATTTTGAAGTTTTTAAAGATTGAATTAGATCAATTAGTACATATGACCTTTATATTTTGCAAGCCCATTAATTTTTATGTCCTCTATGATTTGAGAAAAACAGTGGTTGTACTGTGGCCTGGGCTAAATCCTGACTGAAATTGAATGAGCAAGTTCTTTTTATAAATAAAAGAAGACATTTGTAAATTAGAGAATCCAAAAGTTTTGATAATAATGGTAGATTAGATTCTATAGTTCTTAAGTTGAATTTTATGCCGGCACACCGCCTGCAACTTTACAAGGCACAGGTTCAACCTCACATGGAATACCTTTCCCATCTCTGGGATGGGGCTCCCCAGTTCCATGTCCTTCCATTTGACCGCATCCAGCGCTGAGCGGCACAGAATCATCGACGACCGAGTCCTTTCCGATCGGCTCGATTCACTGGCGCTGCGAAGAGATGTTGCATCTCTTTGCATTTCTTTTTGTATTTTGAATTTTTTTTGCGTTGCATCTACCATGGGGAGTGCTCTGAGGTATTGTTCAGATTAATTCCTGCCGCTCAATTTCACCATCGCACATCGCGACAAAACTCGCGATACCATCCATACCATCTGGATGATTGGCGGTCCACTACTGTGCGATTTAAAAGATGTTTTCTACCTCGCACAACTTTCTTGAGGGATCGATTACCATAAGCGATTTTTCTGGACCAATACGACTTAGAGACCTTCAAGAAAAGAGCCTACTCCTTTTTAAAAGGCCGCAACACATCTGCAATTCCTCAGGTGTTGCAGTTGTTCATTGGCGGTGGTAGTCACTTATCATCAGGTGAGCCGCATGTTCGTTTGACCCCTCTCCTATAAAAAGATATGGTTTTCAATTTTTGGAAGCAGGATTATATAAACGTTACGTCACAAAGAAAGAAAATCCGCGACAACAGAGAAAAATTAATATGGAAAAAAGTGTTAGAAATCATTACACGACTAACGTCATCACAACCCTTTGCTTTAGATTTAATGGAAAAAAATGTTTGCCTAAATTGTCAACAGAGACAAGCGAGTAAGAAAAAGGATCATGAAAAAGTTTTGCCAAAGAAATAATATCATAAACTGTTTCAGTTTAAAATGGAGACAGTTGAGAACCAGATGTAAAATTGTAATATAGTTATCAGATTGTGGTTAATATATACCAAGCCTTTAAACTGATAGAATTTCTATATATATTTACTCAAAATTGGCCTTTACAAAACATTTTAAAAAGTCAAAAGCCACGCCGAAACAAGTCCATTCTGCGGCGGCCTGCAGGGAGACTGTGAGAAAAATCTGTATCTTTCGGACCAGAACTATTTGGACATACTCGTATCCTTGTTTTTGAGTATGTTAGCAACGAGGGCACAGTTGAAAAGGGTAGCAAATCCAAGTAGAGAACACGTTCAATCTGAATGTAAAGGTATAGTGTTGCGTTTAAATCACACTTTCAAGGCTTTACCCGATTGGCACGATAGTGATTTGATGCGGTTTATCGCATCGTATATCTTACTACCGTCACATGCGGTCAGTTCCCAGCGACTCCTATACGAGAAAATAACTTGGGCCTTCAGCTATTAAAAGTCTAAATTTAATCCAACATGAACTTCGGGAGGTTTACTGAATCTAAGGCAAAGTTGGCATAAATTATACCAAACAGTATGTTCACCAACGTACATGAGCACTTTCCACGAGATCTGCTTTTTAATATTTACCAAGCTCAATTCCGGTCGTGTTAAAAGTACTGTTGCTACATTTGGACTGGTACGCCTTACTATCATCTAACACTCAGTGGAAATATTAGTGATAAAAGGTGTAGGAGATACCTCGCAGCTAAGCTAGATCGCCTCGTTTACATTCACAGACATCTTTTCTCATCTGGTTAAAATTTTGTATTTTGCGCAAGAGTTGCACTGTCTGATTCCTCCATTTCTGTTTAAATAAAATTTCATTTCATTCTTTCAATTTTGATGTGCCTCGGATGCATAAAAACTATTTTTTTTAATACGTTTTGAACATTTGGACCTATCGTAGGGTATGTAATTAATAAAGAAAATATAAATCTTTTTTTTTTCAAATTCTGTTAAACTAATGGAAGTTATTCCCACACAAGATATTTCTCAGACCGTGGTGGTTTTTACATAAATACGAGTAATTAATATTGCACATGAATAAATATCCAGTCACAGAACAATTATATAAAGGCCATACTACAGTAAACGACTCCGAATACAATTCTTATTTATTTATACTTAAGTATTTTCTTGGCACAAATTTGTAGCAATTCTATAGACCTAAACCCTTTGTTTTTTTTTTATGTGAAATCTCCTTAGAATCGTTATTTGAAACTCGATGAAACGAAAAAGCGACACTAAAAAGAGACAAACATATAAATCTATAGGATTTAGCCTGCGAGAGAATGAGATAGAATACAGTATAGTTCGCGAACTCAACTTTTGTCTTTTTAAAAAAATACTATTGCTAGTATTTTTTATACAATGTTTCTTTTCATTTCGGTCTCTTCTTGTGCGCTCTAAAAATTATTAATATAAAACTTAACTGTTAAAATAAACAATACAAAAAATTTACAAATTTATTAAATAAATGAAATCATGCATACTGAATAAAATTATTATAGTATACCAATCCATTTATATTGTTACGCCATCTAGCGTCTATTTTACGTACCACCTTGAGATTTATCAATTTTTGTTCTATAAAATGATTTTACCTGTAGAATGAAGTAGTTGGCGCCATTATAAAGCAATTTTACTTGAAATAAAATATTCTTTTTACTTATTACACTACAATTAAGTCTAAATATATATAGTAACATTTATTTGCTAAAAAATTTAACTTTTATCTTATATTAATGCTGCACTTGTGGTTGAAAATGATCATATTAAATAAACCATTTGCCGTGAAATAATTTTATTTCATTTTCCACATTTAATTTGAAGGCGTGTGAACACAACAAGGGCAAGATTTAATATATATATATATTATATATAAAATAATTTTAACATAAACATTATTTTTGTACATAAAAAAACTATAGCAGCATGCAGGTGGGTATGGTTCTGTGAGACCATACTAGCTAGTAGAGCCGAGCTGATATTATGATGTCTGCACGCCTCGTATCACACATATGTAGCATGGCTCTATCACATAGAAAAAATTGAAATAAGAAAAGTTTATTTGAGCGTAAATTTATAAAAAGTTTATTGTAGCGTAAATTTATAAATGCATATAAAACTGCTGACGCATAGTGGATAATATTTTATAAAAAAAAATTACATTGAAATTTACAATGTTTTGGTATATTATTATGGTATGGTATGATATGGCATAACAATAAAACATTTTACAAATATGTTAATTAATTACACCCATGTCATTACATAATGGTTTCTGCCAATTTCATAAAGGGGCTTTGTCATTTCATTGTATTTCAATTTTGTAAAGAAGGTTTTGTAAAAATTTAAATAGAGTTTTATGAGTTTTCCAAATATTAAAATGAAGGTGACTAAAGATCTGAGAACCAAATGAATTATTTTATTTTATTTATCCGGCTATTAGAGTTTAGCCAGCTAAAAGTAGGTGCACCAGTTTACAGTTGGTTAAACTTAGATATGTTCGATTTATTCATGGCTAAATTTAAGTGCCTACACTTAAATTTGTTGTTTTCGTCATAACATAGGTCTTTTAATGTAAAATTCCGAATAATAATTAAAATAACTAAAACTTCTGTTAATTTTGTTCAAAGTATAAAAGCACCTATTAATACGACCGATAAGACTTAAGAACTCTACTCTTTTATAAAAGGCCGAATAGGCACCTGCAAACATCATGGTATTTAACAATTCATCCATCAGTTGTTCATAAGCGGCGGTAGTCACTTACGATCAGATGAGTCACATGCTCGTTTTCCCCATATTAAATAATAAAGTAGTATCAGCAGAAATTTAAGGTGCGACTGACCCCAAAGTCGCTAATTTTCAAACATTATATATATATAAGAATAAATTTAATGCACCTAAGTTTAACCAACCGCAATCAGCTTCACCTAGCAGTGGCTGATCAAACATAGTTTGTATTTAAAAAAAATACAAATTACCGGTTCAAACAAAATAAATTACACGTCAGGTTAGCCAGATAATTAGATCAGCCTGTTAAAATTGCTTCATTGAAGTGTACTTACAGTTGTTGGTGTTACTGTGGGTACAGTGGGTTTGTAAAATGGTTTGTCAAGATATGAAGCTCTATATTTAGAACTAAACCTGCCTTTAGGTTTTTCAGGCTCGTTGATAATCTGTAAATGTTGTTTTATGACAAGAATGTTTGAAATGTATGTTTATTTTATAAAACGAAAAAGGATAATACTCACGCCATTAGTAGATGCTTCAGTGGTCTTCGAGAATATGTCACTATACTTTCGTAGTGTTCTTTCCTTAGTCGCGGAAAATGGAGATGAATTTATAATTCTTTCTTTAGATTTTACGATTTTGCGCGTATATTTCCTCGTTTGTATATTTCTAATGGAAGGAGGAGTAGGAGTCGTACCGATATAATCTTTTCTTTCTGAATCATTTACAGCGCTCTTATCTTTATAATTGGCGTGGTATTTTTGAGTAGTAGAAAACTCGTTTATTTCAGACTTATTTTCACTTTGCTCTGCATTAGTAACTACTTCATTGTCGGTATTATTTTCACGAGATTCCTTACTACTTACCGCTATTAAAAACTCTTCTTTTCTCTCTTCGCTTACATTGTTAGGGATTGTATTTTTTACTGGCTTATTTATCAAGCTAAATATGAGAGGCATATCAGCTGTGGTTTCTATTTTCTTATCTGCAATCTGTGTTTCATTTACTATACGTACTGTATTTGTAGTTGCTGTTACGTCATTTTTAATATTATTCCTTAATCTTGAATAATAATTTGTTCTTGGTAGCTTAATCTTATTATTTACAACACTAGTATTAATAGAAGTTTTTACACTCTCATTTGTGGTGATTGCATCTGTTGATATAATATCTTTTTTATCAAATCTTTTCCTTGAATAATTTGGAGAGTGAACTAAAGTCTTCTGAAAATGTTGTCGAGATTGGAACCTTTTATTTTTTACTAAATTTTCTGTTACTGGTTCTTCTGTCGATGATGTTTTTAATTTCCTATTAAATTTATATGACCTTTCTGTGGCAGGACTGCTTGATGTACTCTTTGTCACAAAAGCCACATTTAAACCACTGAGCTTTCGAGATTTTGGTACATATGATCCACGTACGCGATATTCTTGAGGTTTGGTTGTTTTGTTGTAAGAATCATTCACTGTTGTAATACTGTCATCAGTAGTTCCGTTTTTTAATTCACTCTCCGTTGTGTTTAATTTACTGCGAAGCTGAAACGTTTGGAATTAGTATTTACACAACTTGAAAATTTTAGTGTTTTTTTTTTACTTTATTCACACTCGTAAGTCAAAACAGTATCATAATAAAAATTTGAATAATAACAATTAAACAAAAAAAAATTACTGTGGTGATTTACGGAATTACGATTAGATAACAACGAATACGGTGACAAGCCTATATTACCCGTGTAGTATTTTCTAAGTCACCGACTGTGTTGAAAGACGGTATGGGTTGTGTGTAAATATTTACTTTGTGTGTTTCTTTCACTGACAAACTCTCGCTGGATGGAGAGCTCACTTGTGTCTGAAAATGTAATGAGAATTTCAAAAAACAAAAAAAATTCTGCATGTCTATTATTTTACTGGAATATGATAATGTAAACTTACAAATAATTTCTGAAAGTTCTAAACTTAAGGGAATGGAGGATAATAAACAAATTTAATATTGAAGTCCTTATATTTTCGGTCATTACCCATAAAAAGAATTACATTTCATTAGTAATAATTACTCACCGAAGCATTTTTAGTTTGAATCAAGGCTTTAAAACTTTCTGGATAGTTATCATCGTCACCAATCTCATCAGAAGTTTTAACTTTTGGCTTCATCCTTGAAGGTACTGTGTTATCTTTTCCTCTGGCCGAAGGGCGCCTTACAACTCTCATGGTTGTTACGGTTGTGGATTTTGATGGACTACGTTCACTATTTCTCTGGACATTCTTTTCAGATAGAGTTGGGGATGGTGTAGGACTTTCTAATTGACTATTAATCTTTCTTTTCTTCTGAACAGGTTTAATGACTTCATTAGATGACAAAATACCATCCCCAGTTAAATTTGTGTCAGTTTCTGATAAACGCGTTCGGTATCTCAATTTCCGTGAACTTCTTGTATTTTCTGAAGACGTTTCACTAATAGGTATTTTTTCTGCAATGGTTAAATCATTAGTTGCACCAGAACTTGCCATATCTTCTAATTTAACATTAGTTCTAGTATTTATGCGTCCACGTGATCGTATTGATTTTGGAGTTGACGAAGTTACACTTTGTTTTGTTTTCGCAGTCGTGCTCCGCCTTTTAAACTGAACACTTGTGACATCCTCTTCTTTTGGTATAATCCGTGTGAAATCTTCAAAATTCGATTCAATGGTTTTACTTTTTCTATCATCAATAACTGGAGAAGATATTTTTAATGGAGTCTGTGTAGAGCTGGACTGAGTTTTTCTATTATTTATATCTCTAATTCTATTATCTTCAATGTCGGGAGAAGACATCGCTAAAGGAGCAGTTGTAGCAGTATATTGTGGTCTTCTGTTGATTTGTCGCGATTTGCTCTTGACATTTATATCTTGACTTGCGTAAGAAGTGACGACGTTTGCCTCAGTTTCTATTGGCCGACTACGTAATCGATTATTTCTTCTGGAATCGAATTTTTCGCTACGCCCATTTTCCGTCGGAGATTGTTCTGTCACAGTAGGTGAAGCATTTGTATCTGAAATCTTTGTTTTAGGTCTTGTTCTATTAATATCTCGCGGTGTAGATGGTGGCGGTTCTTCGCGTCTTCTAGAACTTCTTGGCCGGAAAGTGGGCTGTACATCTTCATATTTTGTTGCACTTGTAGGCCCACTCGAGTCGAAGTTCGATGAAAGTCGTCTGCTGGTACGCGTACTTTCTACCTGAAATACATAAATCTATTATTAAAAATTTGAAAATTGTAAATTAATTAAATCAGTACATAAAATTTCAACAATTTGTTACAATTTTGGTTTTATTTATCTACTTATGCTATTTAAAACATTATAATATGTTTATAATATGTTACAGACCGTTGATCAGTGGTAAATCAGTACTTAAAAGGTTCCAAGGGGTATCGAACTAGGTACTTATCGAACGGTATTTTATCGCATCTACCACGGGAAATGCTCTCAGGAATTGTCGGACTAATTCCAGCTGCTTAATTTCACCATCACACATCGCGACAAAACTTGCGATACCATCCATACTATCTAGTTGATTGGTGGTATACCACTGTGCGATTTAGAAAAAGTTTCCTTCCTTGCACAACTTCCGTGTGGAATCGATCACCACCGATACTACTTAAGGACCTTCAAGAAAAGAGCCTACGGTAACGCATCTGCAATTCCCCTGGTGTTGCAGTTGTTCATGGGTCGCGGTAGTCACTTACCATCAGGTGAGCCGCATGCTCTTTTGCCCTTCCCTATAAAAAACACGCACACACACACACACACACCCACACCCACACACACCCACCCACCCACACACACACACACACACACACTCTCACACACACACACACACACACACACACACACACACACACACACACACACACACACACACACACACACAAGACATACGAGTATATATGTGTGTGTTTATAAAGGTATGCATAACTGATTATTTCTTTTATTTATTGCATTATGGTTATTCTATAATATCTAGTTTTATGTATGTATAAAATTGTTCAACTAAATTGAAATGTTAATTTGTTAACTGACGCTTATTATACAAAAATCAATCATGTATCAGTATGTAAGTGTTATTAATGAATCTGAAACAGTCCGCTACGGGCATGAGCAGCTCTCATTTTAAGGAGTATTTGCCATAATCGTACGCTCGACAGGAGAATTAGAGATAGGAGTGTTATGATGGTGTAAGAAAATCCACTAATTTATTTTTTGCTTACAGCGAGGTCGTCGCGCAAACTCGCTTGTTCATTAGCACATTTTATTCTATTAATAACATTAAAAAGTCCAATGATGATCATATTCCTCCCCCAAGTAATGCTTTGTGGCATTGTTACACGTTGTTTGTGGCATGGACCTGAGTCACCTGCGTCCATGCATGTCTTACCAGGTCGTTACTTCATCTAGTTGAGATCGCCCTTACCGGTATGAAGCTGCCACTCGAGAAACTTCTTTTCCCATCGCTTGTTGTTTTTTTCGAGGTATATGGGCGGCCCAATGCCACTCCAGCTTACTAATCCATTGGGTTATGTTGATTATTCTAGTTCTGTTATCACGCAAAGGAACTTATCAAACTCTAAGCAATGAAGACAACAGATGCGTTGTCATCCATGAGTGCTACAATAAAATACATTATAGCTTCTAGTGTTAATACTGATGAAATGTATCCTATGTTCTATAAACGTTTAAAAGCTAACAAATATATTCTGCTGCGTGTTTAAAATACAGAACATTAACTATACACATATCTCGTTTTGTAATACACCTATATTAGGACTGGCATGTGCTTAAATAATATTTCAATCTATGCTTGTAATGGATTTGAGGCTTAGATACACCTGCGTTCTCAGTATTAGAAACTTAATTTATGACCATTTATTTATAAAGTGATTACAAACGACGTGACTTATAATAAAACCGAATGATCTTAAATGGCGAATTTTGAAAAAGAGGAAATAAATCACCCCCTTTTGCTTGTGTTTCAACCGACTGAAACAGAATAATGATATCAATTTGACTGTAACTGCAAAGTATAACACGATTCATTTATTTATTTATAGATTATTTCCACAGTGGTCTAATATAAATTTCATTAGATTTATTGATAAGATTTTAATTCAGTTCATTTATATAAATTATTTTATTAGTAAGCAAGGGAATGAGTACAGTCTACTCGAATAAAAATAACAGATAACGAGAACACAGTTATTCAATTGAATTGTGTTATCATTACGTATTATAGTAATTTTATTAATATATAGTGTTACAATAATCAAACATAGTCATGAACAATTTGACGGAAAATTGACAGAGCCTAGAGATCTTGATGATAACTAAATGTCATTTTTATGGGCCTTCGTTATGCACTATTATATCATTATATATTGCAGATGTTATAATAATTATTGAACATTTTAGATACTCGTACATATATCTATCAGCTAAGTTTTTATTTTATTTTTTTATTCGATATAAGCAATTTTATACAAATGTTATTATTCACTAATAAAAATTAATTCCTTTCAAATAATCGACTGTTGACCCATTAGATGAATAATGATGCTATAAAAACTTATCTTCGAATGGTAAAAATACCCTGAGGTCATTTCGGTCATAATCCAATATTACAATTGGTGTACTCAACTAATAGTGAAATAAAAAATAAAATACTTTGATTTTGCTACCGCAAAGTTAGGTTTGAACTTGATTCAACCTCCAACCAATATAATTTTTCAAGGAACTAATATATTAACAAAAAATCGAGATAAAACAAAAACTCCAAGTTGAAATTTTATATTTTGTAAAGAGAGGTAAAACCCTAGTGCGGGGTGCTACTTGCGTAGACACTTGGCAGTCTCTGACTATGACCAGTCGCAGACACAGTCCGCAGCTGGTGTTAAAAGGGCTGGTTCTCTTCACGCTCAAAGGCTAAGTATATATTCGGTATAACGTGATATAGTTACTTTCAATTTTACATTCTGATTTACCTATATACGTGGTAAAGCCATGCTGCAGCTATATTAGTAGTATAGTTGTAGCACGAATTGGTCGACTCGACCGGGGAATGACCACGCTCTCACAGATTACTAGTATAAAATAGCAGCTTACAACTGTTGTGTTTCGTATGGTGAACGTAGAGAACCGGAGACCCTTTTCACTGGAAATGAGACATTCTATGTTAGTCCCCACGAGTGACAACGCATCTGCATTTTGATTCGCAAACGACGGTAGATGTAGATGTCTATGGGCCACAGCAAACACTTACCATGAGGTAGTTTGTGTGCTTGTATGTCACACTATCCTATACAAAAACCTCGCACTTGACAGTGAACAAAAACATTGTGATAAAAGACTTATAAAATCTGTCTTTACGCATATGAGCAGCGCGACTGACTCTTCCTTCCTAAAAACCTTTGTTTTTACTTATTATGGTGTGCTTGTATAATTTGGCCTGTAAATCGCATAGCCAAAGCCTGTTCACTACACAACTATAGCATTGAAAACACCCAGATGGCAATTTACATTTCTAGATATGAATTTCTCTAAAGTCATCATCAAGTTTGATTTATTATAAATTATTTAGTGTATACAACTATGATAAGCTACGTGGTAGAGCCATGCTGCAGCTATATTATGGTTGTAGCACGAATGGGTCGGCTCGACCGGGGAAGGAACACGCTCTCACAGAAAACCTGCGTAAAATAGCAGCTTATCGCTGCTGTGTTTCGTATGGTGAGTGTAGAGAACCGGAGACCCTTTTTACTGGCAAACTGGCATTTTACCTCACGCAGTGATGAATTAATATCCACAATTTGGTGATTGACGACTACACATTTCATTGTATTTTTACGATAGTAATTTCATAACGTAATTTAACATTTAATGTTAAATACATTCATTAATTAACGGTATAATTATTTAAAATATGGAAATAGTGGTAAATCGTCACGAAGTGTTAAAGTTATACATGGTAGAGCCATGCTGGAGCTACATATATTAGAAGTATAGTTGTAGCACGAATGGGTCGGCCCGGCCGGGGAAGGACCACGCTCTCACAGAATACCAGCGGAAAATAGCAGCTTAACACTGCTGTGTTTCATATGAGTATAGAGAACTGGAGACCCTTTTTACTACAAAAGAGGCATTCCATCTTAGTCCTCACGGGTGACAACGCATCTGCAGTTTGATTCTTTATTGAGGATAGATGTAGATGTCTATGGGTCACAGCAACCACTTACCGTCAGGTGGGCTGTGTGCTCGTTTATCACCCTATCCTATAAAAAAAACAAGTTAAATGACTGTCCTTAATTAAAAAGCGTACTAATGCTCAAATAATTTGAAGTCATTCTTGAAAGGTAACAAACGTTTTACTCTTGATTCACTTGATTATTCACGTATACCCGGTCATCCTTTCCATTCTTGTATATACATATAAAGGTTTGCTTATTTTCGATCGACCAAACCAAAGCAAGTTCAAAAATACGAGAAGGTTATATTATTATATTCGACGCGTATATTTTACGTATGATCATAGAAAATGAAGATTTTAATGCACTACTACTTATTAGAACGAGTTGTAACTTTGAACTTTTGTTATTCCTTAGACCTTACAAAAGGATAAAAGTACTTGTTATTCCGTAAGTTGTATGTGGAAATTATGCTTTTTTAAATTTTGTAGTCAGTTCTCTTCTTTATTAAAAGTTTACTTATTGTCTGTAATTCATCAATTTAGTACCCTTTTATATAAAATTCTTGAGACTTACATTTTAACTACTCAAATGATTGGTACATTTTGTTACATTAACGTATTATGTATCATGAAATCGAAATCTGCAAGAACTTTCTATTGTGACTTTACTAATTTTAGTATTTTGACAATGTTTAGCACGACAAAAGGACCAGATGGAAGTTAGCGTAGAACATTCTTTTTTTTTAACTAAACTGTATGCCAATTAATTGCTCCATAAATGCTCCAGCAGAATCCGAAATTGCTTCTGGTGATAAAAGGTATGTTATAATCTTTTAAAAATAAAAGGGACAATAAAAAAGACTTAATTCGAAAATTATATGCACTGGACTATTTAATTTTATTGTTTTCATTGCACTATTTATGCACATTTTTTTACGATTTAGATTTCGCATGAAACCTGTTTAAAAATTATACACTCACTCAACACAGAGAACTTATGAATCAGCGGTTTAAAAGAGAAGGTAAGGTTCGTGGTGGCTGGTCAATTACAAGTTTCAGAGATCCGTGTGTACAAGTGGACCAAGTTGAGTAATGTCGTAAATGCAACTAGTTAGAGTCTGGTACATGTAACGAAACGTAGCGTTTTTAGTTTTTGATGTGAAATAATATTTAGATTATCATTTTTACTATATACTATACTATACTTTCTGTTATTTACTTTTTAAAGATAATTCGATCAAGGAAAACAATCTTTAAGTAATGAGAACCAAAAACGTCGGAGTAAGAAAATCCATCACACATATTGGATTCTTAACAGGCGATTATGGGAAATGCCTAAAAGATCTCATGTTTTCCTATAGATGGCGATACTTATACTTATCTTGTCTACACCAGGCGTTTATTTTATAAAACTGAAATGACTAACGAACTCACAGCCCACCCAATAAGTGGCTACTGTAGTCCATGAACACCTGCAACCAACACAAAAAAGGAAGACTACAGATACGTTATAACCTCTGCGAACTAAGATGGAATCATCATCATCATCATTACAGTCCTTCACAAGTCCACTGCTGAACATAGGCCTCCCCTAAGAAATGCCACAAAGGACGGTGCCGAGCCACCTGCATCCATCGACTTCCTGTATGTCTTACCAGGTCGTCACTCCATCCAGCGGGGGGACGCCCTACACTTCGCCTGCCTGTACGAGGCTGCCACTGGAGAACCTTTCTGCCCCATAGGTTGTCGGTTCTTCGAGCTATATGGCCGGCCCATTGCCACTTCAGCATACTAATTCTTTGAGCTATGTCTGCTACTCTGGTTCTACTGCTGACATCCTCGTTTTTAAGTCTATCATGCAGAGAAACGCGGAGCATAGCCCTCTCCATAGCTCGCTGAGCCACTTTGAGCTAAGATGGAGTAGTAGTCCGTATTCAATATATTTAAAGGTAAAGAGAGCTTGTATAACAAACTGTCTTTACCCTTAAATATATTGAAGTAGGTAAGAGGTTGTTTCCTACTCAGATAGAAGCAGAAAGAAGTCCTGCCTGGGATTAAATCTTAAATGTACAAAACGAGAACGTATAACAATGTCAAAGTTACTTGACGTTTAGTACTGCGATTGCCAATCTTTCTGCAAATACTCATCCTATAAATGGAAAATCGCATGTTCAACAGGAGACCTTAATGAGCTAATTCATTAAATAAGATCATTGTGGCATGTTGTAGAGCCATGCTGCAGTTATATTATGGTCGTAACACGCCCGGGAAAGGACCACGCTCTCACAGAATATCTGCGTTAAATAGCAGCTTAATTTCGTCGTCTTTCGTATGGTGAATGTCGGAAACCAGAGGCCTTTTTTTACTGGAAACCAGGCATTCTTTCTTAGTCCTCAGGGGTGACAACGTATTTGCATTTTTATGCTTATTCAAGGATAGATGTAGATGTCTATAGGCTACAGCACCCACTTAACATCAGGTGATCTGTGTGCTCGTTTGGAAACCCTTTTTTACCTACTTCAAAAAGCAGGCGGTACTCAATTCGACTGTATGTCTTTCTTATGTATGTTACCTTATAACTTTTTACTGGGTGAACTAATTTCGATGATTCTTTTTTTATTTGAAATCTGGTGCTTTACATGTGGTCCCGTGTTGATAAAGGTCTGACCAATAGTTTTTGAGTTATTCTTAATAATTTATATTGAACTGGGTTGTACAAAATTTTAAATTTTTCTATAAGAAATGAAAAAACATTCAAATTTTTTTAAAGAAATATGAAGTTAATTTTGTTTTCTATACGTAATTTACTGTACCAAATCTACTTATGCAGATAACGCAATGAAACTATACAGTACATTACAGACGTATTTTAAATACATATCATAACATTTAGGCACATTAAACAAAATATTTTACTTAATTCAAAAGTATTCAGTTACGATTACAGCCAATAAAATTCTACTGCTGGTCATAGCCCACCCTCATAGATTGTCTTTGGGAAGATATTTGCCATAGTTGCCACGCTTGGCAAGTGGGTGGGCAACCGCATTTTTTTAATTACTCGATACTCTCTGGACGATATGGGGTAGTGGACATTCTTGCACCGCCTACACCACCTACACGGTTCAAAAGTATTATTTACCTGATAAAATATAAATTACCTGGGACATATTGCTCGTGGTTTGAGACTTGTACTTATATTATTATATCGATAGCTAATGTCGTGACAGTCTTTTATGCAATAACTAGGACTAAGTAAAGTGTTGATCGCTCTCCGAACTGTGGATAGACTCGTTCTTTTATGAAAACTATTTAAATAATAAAATATGAAATTGAATAATTTGATATAAAACAGAACAATAACAATAACCAGATACGACTGCGTAAGAACTTTCTATGCGCACATCGACCTGCGGGTGTCATAAAGATGCATCAGAGAAAACTAATCCAGGAG